GTCGATGACTACCTCAAGGCGATTGGAAAAGTAAAAAAGCTGGACAGTTGGGTTGCGCACAAATTAAACGACCGCCAAAAAAAAAAAAACCAGCGTTATGAAGTTTTTGCTACACTTCTTTGCCGAAACAAAAACGACCCTTTTCTGTCCAGAATTACTTGTGATGAAAAGTGGATACATTACGATAACAGTAGGCGTTCCGGACAGTAGCTCGACTGAGGAGAAGCAGCAGAACATTTTCCAAAGCCCCCAACTCATCAAAAACAGGTAATGGTTACTGTTTGGTGGGTTTCATTTGGTTTGATACACTACAGCTTCTTAAATCCTGGAGAAACCATCAATGCCATATCGTATCGTAACCAAATTAATGCAATGCACCAGAAATTGGAAATAATAATAGCCATCTTTAGTCAATCGGAAGGGGCCCATTTTGTTGCATGACAACGCCCGGCCACATGTCTCGAGTGTGATGGCACAAAAACTGTTGGAGCTCGCCGGACCTCTCTCCTTCGGATTATCATTTCTTTAGACACCTGGACCACTACTTACGTGACAACAAATTTAATGGACAAAGGGGATTTGAAAATGCGTTTTTGGAATTGATAAATTCTTTTTTTTTTTATTATTGAAATTTACAACTGTATTAAATGATAAATACAACTAGTAAATATGAAATAAGTAATATGACATGTACAACATGAAGAGAAACTACCCATTGGTAGCACTCCAAGTATATTTATATATTAGAAAGTCCCGAGGCCATCTTTTTTTCAGACGCCTCGGAGGGTGATCACATGGTAATCATTCAATACTCAATCAGAAATCCACTTTATTCTAAGCAGCATCTGCTAATCAAGAAAGGTTAATGAGCTACAACCATCCCTCAATGTTACATTGGTTCTTATTGTTTCTTCATTCTGGCTGAATATTCTTGAAAACGGAAGTCACCACTGTTTGTTAATACTGGACAGAACATGGAATAAAATAACGACAAAGAGGAGAACCGCATTCTGTAGAATGAAATCTATTAAATCTTATAGGCTGACGGAGGATGTAATGGCTCAATATGATGGGAAGAAGTGGAGAGAATGAACCTTCCTGATAGTAAGATATTCATAATGTTGACGAGAGCTGGACAGCATTTAGAAATATAGCTCCTAAAGCCACGAGACTTGTCTGTGGAGAGTAGAATACCGGATAAAGTTTCTAACGAACTACCTGGTGGACAGATAATGTGAAGAGGACTGTAACTTCTTGAGCCAGAGAACCTCCAGTGCCCACTAAAAGTACAAAGATAAGAGAGAGAGGAAACCAAGGACAAAATACTTGTAGCTAAGAGCTATCGTTGGGAAGATATGGGCCACAAACTCGAAGAGAATGCAAAAGAAAACCAAAACGTTTTTCACAAATACTCTAAATAATGAGAAAGGAGAGGCCACCAGAAAGAACTACAATAATTTGCACTGCTGCTTAACTGTGTTGAGTTGCTATACCACACAGCATACTCAATCAATACACTGATAATATTTTTTAAAAAATAAGAGAGAGGCGAGACCACTGCAACAGCTAATATGCCAAAAACAGTATATAAGATTGAATAAGCGAAAGACAAATTCTATCAATATATGTGGAATTAATGATGGAGGATTCCTAACGAGTCCAAATTAATAGTTTCTGTCATGGTCTGTATCTGCTCCCTTTCAACACAGAGCCTCTGCAAGAAATTAGTAGTAAGATGGACGGTTCCTCTAATTCCGAACCACAGCCCATTAACTGAAAAGTCTCTCTAACTAAGGTATGCATTTCTTATAGATATCCTTCTTCTTTGCCTGTACCCTTAAGTCTTGATCCTGATCGTTCGTTTAAAATATGATCGTGGGATTCACTATAGTGCCTCCTTTTCCGTCGCATTGAAAGCCAGAATGTCGAAGAATCTAGTTGAGCCTTTCGTATCCAGGCAATAAATCTCGAGAATACATCTATATTTCTTCATTTCAACGAATTCGGTTATTCGATGTGGCATATAATTTTGCCGGCGGGCGACTAGGAGCATGTTATTCGGACAATTGCTCAAGAAATGAGCTGAGGTTTCTAACTCTCGGCCACATTTGCGGCAGAGGGGTCACATTTCTCCGTTAGCCTGGCTTCCGGTCCGTGGTACTACGCGGAGAGGAGAGTAATTAACATTCAATTTCATGGCGTTCGTCCATTCTGAGCCGGTGAGCACCTTTCTCTCGAAAATAAATTAAATGGCCCATGGATTTGCTTTAAAACGGGACACACCAATTCCCTGCGACTTGGTCCAGTCTTCAAAGGACTTTTCCCTCAGAGATTGTCTTACTTTTCTAGCTGTCAGTGATGGTTCCATGTTACTTGCTTCACTCCCTAACAGATCCACACACTTTCTTACTTCATTCCCAAAATTGAAAATTTCTGGTTACTTTCGCTACAGTATCATTATCAAACTCTCGTTCTCCAGAGAACTGACAGCTAAGGTATTTGATAGTGTCATCCTCTTCAATGGAGGTGATTACCTCTCCGGTATCGAATCGAAACTTTGATTTTACTAAGTTTTCCCTTCTAAGATATCAGAACATTTTTTAGGTTTTATGGACAGTCCCAACTCACAAAACATCTTACAAATGCAATTTATTGCCCCCTCCCCAGCTTTAACACTGCACGCTGTAACCGCTTGATCATCAGCGAAACCTATAAGCAGAACGGGATTGTAGTTATGGGCCAATTTGTAACCATATTCCTCCGCTACTTTTGGATATCACAGTACTGTATATAGGGAATCTACACTCACATTGAAGAGTGCCGGGGAAAGTGTTCCACTCTGTGGTGCTTCTTTGTAATTGATACTGCTTGTCTTTGTAGACCCTTATGGCGTTGTAACGCAATAGGCTTTCTATTCTTTTCTTAGGTCAAACAAAACACTCCCAGCTTTCAATGATTTTAGAATATGATTATTGTCAAAGACTTAGGTTACGCGACTGCAGCATCTTTTTGTTTATTCCTTGCATCCTTGAGCTTCAATTATAATCGAGTTTACGTGGAACTCCGGTTCTCCAATTACGAAACCTCTCTGGTTTGTGTGATAAGAACTTTGCATCCGAAGTTCGTGTTCAAAAACCTTTTCAATGATACGCCTTAATATGATGTCAATTGTTATGGGTCTCCATGAAGACAAATCGTTACTACAACCCGTTCCCTTATAAATAAAAATTGTTGTCATAGCCGAATTTCATTATGACGTCGATTATCGTTTTACATGTGAAATTCCCAGCTTCCTTATTGTTCTCATAAGAACTCCGTCTGGACCGGGTGAGGTATCCATAGATATGCTCTTTATTGCCTCATGAACAACTCTTAGTTCTACAGTTTTTATATTCGGAATATGGGAAGAGGGCACATAACCTTCCTTCACATTATCATTCTTATTCTCAAAAACTGATTTAAAATGAGCGTCAATCTTTTCGATTTTAACAGAACATTACTTTCGGCTGTCCACATCCATTATGCCCTGGGCTACTTTCTTTCTACAGTTGTAGAACTTGTATTTGGATCTCTGGGGATTTTTCGTTTCTCCTTGCTCTTCATGTCAAGGTTTTTTCTTCTAAGCATCTGAAAGAACCTAATAGCTGGGCGTTTCGTCCGGGAAGTGATTTATTAGCCTATCTAAGGATAATAATAAAATCGCCCATTACCCTATCAAAAATTACCCGAATCCAGGAGAGCCTTTAAAAGATCTTTAAATTTGGCTTTCCACTTCTTAACTTCAAGTTCGACATGTGCCAGAAAAGCCCGACGATTGATGGAAAGGAACTGGTTAAGGAATATCCTGGATTAACTTTTTCTTTTATTTCAAGCCGATAGGTGCCGATGGGTATCGACCTCCCTCATGCCTAACATTCCGATTCTATCAATGAACATCACATCCGCTTTTTGTTACAGGCTGTGACAGGTGTGGATTAAATAATAAATGGTTATAAACGGTTATTTTTTAAAGATGACTGGCAGATCGAACATGTCTGAGAATGAAGATCTTTCGATATTCCCCGATTATCAAGATTTAAAACTATGACATGTGGAACACTAAAGTCTAGAGAATCGTAATTCAATTCATTCCCCTCATGGTTGGTAGTCTCTGACGAGTGTTGAAGAAAAACCTCATCCTCAGAAACAGCTTTTCCCAAAACAACACCTGTATCTTCCTCCCATTCAACTGACACAACCCGAAGACTGTCATCTCGTCCCTTTTCTACAGATATGAAACTGAAACTTGAAAAATACCACCTCTTCTCCGAACCCAAACTCGCTGACCATTCTTTAGACCTTTCTCTGGTTCGGGCACATCCTCATCTGGCTAGAGTGTGTTTTGATTAAATTAATGCTGATAGCTGAAAATTCTACGTTCGCGAGTCTTCACTGTTCCGAATGGTCTTTGAAGTCAATAAATAAATACAGTTATTTTATAAAGATACGACCACGTAATAATGATCCCAGTAAATCATCTAACAAAACATAAAATATATATATATAATCTATCCCTTCCCAACAAGTATCAAGGTCACATACCTACAAAAAACAATTGTGAAAAATTCATTCATACAGCCTGAAATATTAAATAGCTTAAAAGTATATAACTAGTTAAATAAGTTATATATATATATGTATATATATATTAATAATAAACCATAAAATATTTTTACATAAATTATTGTCAAGGTTATAAATAGATTAAAAATATGAATATATGAATAGTTTTAAGACAATATTAAATCCTAAGACAGCTATTAAAACTTTAAACTATAAAGCTTTAAAAAAATATTGGGTAACTTTGCTCGCGTCCGTACATTGTACACGTGCCCTCCGGTCATAACTAAATGAGCAATATTGTCGCCGTGAAGACAGTTCAACATCATAGAATTCACAAAAATATGAATCCATCAAAATTAACGAAACCAAAAGGCCCAGTCAACACACAGCTTAAGGCTATGTTCTGGAACGTTGGTGGCCTAACTGCTGACAAATTCACAGAATGGAAGACGATTATTACAAAGGAGGATGCTGATTTATATGGGATCGTAGAAACCGGCTCATCCACTGAAAATATCCAGTTCTACCAATTACCGGGATATCAAACTTATAAACTGCAGAGATCCAGGCAGGTTGCATCAGGAATAATTGTCGCTGCTAAATCATCCCTCAAGGTAACCTTTTCAATTAAAAAGAAGATGGAAGAGAATGATAAATTGGAGGCTGTACAGTTAGATGTATGGAAAAATAAAATCCATAGGAGGTTTTATGTAATGTACAACCCCCAATGAATAGACCAGACCTATCCTGGCTTGAAGCTCAGTGGGGATCCCAAGACGTTTTATATGGTGATATTAATGCCCCATCCACGAGATGGGATTATAACCAAACATCAGCCGTTGGTAGGATTTTTGAGGATTTCATTGACTCGAACCCAGTAGAAATTATTAGAAGAGAAGACAACAGCCCAACGTTTATTTCATACCGGGGCAATACTAGCAATCCGGATGCAATTCTGACTCACACAAATTTAAAAAATGACATTCACTGTTCTGTGGAACATGCACCAGGAGAATTAGGACACAAGATATTAAAAATAATAATTAGGACCCATAGGACTAGTGGACTCTCTGAACCTCGAATAGCCAAATGGAACTTGAAAAAAGCTAAATGGAAATTATTTTCCAAGATATGTGATTTAAAGTTAAATGAGCATGTAATACAAGGTAATGTTGATGTTATTAATAAGAAAATATGTGAAACAATCTTAAAATGTGCCATAGAAACTATTCCTAGAGGTTGCGTTAAGAAATATTCTCCTTTCTGGAATGCTCATCTGCAGAGATTGAAGGATAGAAATGCCGCCCGAGAAATATATCGAAACAGCAGAAAGGAGAGTGATAAAACACGTCTGAAAGCTACAGGAGCTTTACTAAGAAGGGAAATAATTGAGGCTAAAAGAAGTTCCTACAGACAATTCTGGGAAAAGCTAGATTTCAGAAAAGATGGAGTCCAAGCTCACCATTTCCTTTCTAAAATCAACAAGAACACAGAAACTAAGAAGAATAATCCTTTTGTAACGGCGTCCGGAAAAATTCTTACATCAGATTTGGCTATTGCCAAGTTCTTCTGTTCATATTACTCTAAGGCTAGTAATTACCATACAAGACCCATTCAGAAAGTGAAATTTAAAGAATCTACAACCTGTCTCAACGAATCAGAAACGTCGATTTTTTGTTCCCCATTCACTGCTACTGAGTTAAATTCAGCTATTGAAAAGATTCCATGTAAAAAAAGCGCAGTGCCAGATAATATCCTTCCTGAATTTATAAAACATCTAGGGGAGTCTGCGTTGGCTATTCTCCTGCGGTTTATGAACAAGATCTGGAGAAAAGGATTACCAAGTGCATGGCGGAAGACTGAAATAATCCCTATCACTAAGAAAGGCAAGACTCCAAACAAACCAGAACACTGTAGACCAATCGCCCTCACCAGCATGCTCTCAAAATTGTTTGAACGACTAGTATTGTATCGACTTGAGAATTTCATGGAAATTAAGCGAGCTATCTCTGACAAACAAGCAGGATTTAGAAAACACAGGAACACGGTGGAGCACATGGCATACCTTTCACACGAAATAAAAAATGGTTTCCACAGAAAGCAAAGTACATTGGCGATTTTTGTAGACTTTAAAGCAGCATTTGATAAAGTCTGGAGAGAAATGCTGTTACTAAAAATTAGAAATATGGGTGTGGCAGGTAATATGTTCAAATGCATTTATTCTTTTTTAGCGCAGAGACATATTCGGGTAAAATATAATGGTGTAGTTTCACCTTATAAACAGACAAGAAAAGGAGTCCCCCAGGATGCAGTTTTAAGTCCAATTTTGTTTAACATTATGATTAATGATGTAATTGAAATACTAGAAGCTATTCCCGGAGTTCAAACACTTCTCTATGCAGACGACTTAGTTATCTGGGCTACTAGTAGCCACATGAAAGCTATTGAATGCTGCTTAAATAATGTATTAATATCATTACATAAATGGACGGTGGACAACCAGTTTGAGGTTAATACTCTCAAAACTCATTATCAAATCTTTACCCTCTCGACTAAAAGACAAGAAGTAGAAATTATATATAATAATGAGACTGACTCAGACTGATTCTGCAACATACTTGGGTATAAAATTAGACTGCAAACTTACTTGGAAGAACCATTTAGATAGATTAATTGAGCAAGGGAAGGCATATTAAGCTTGCTAAAAAGACTGGCAGGAATTAAATGGGGCGCCCACGAAGAATTATTAACCCTGGTATACAAGTCATATATAAGACCAGTAATGGAATATGGTAGTGAGATATTATTAACTGCATCAGAAAACTCACTGCATGCCTTGGATGTGGTGCAAAACAAGGATTTGAGACTGATTACAGGGGCTGTAAAATCCACACCAATTGCAGCTCTTCAGTCACAAACGGGAATAGAACGACTTCAAACAAGGAGAGAAGTGGCAGCAATCTGCCTTACAGAGAGAATGAAAACACTAGGTTTGAAGTACTGGGCTGCTCAAGAAACATCTGTCCAGCGTCTCAAGACGCAAAAACCACTAAGAGTAAACGTTAGAGACCTACTGGAAAGAAAACACATTGATCTAGGCATGAGTCGGCCATTTAATAAATGCAATGACCGTCAAAGATTTATCGCAGAGACACAGCTAGATCTAACACAACCAGTAAACACCAAACACCTGAGTGGGAATTGAAAGCGCTTGCTTTGGAAAAAATAAATAGCCGCTATTCCGAGCAGAATGGCTCCACGTATACACCGATGGCTCCGCTCAAACAGCTACGCGGAATGCAGGAGCAGGAGTATACTGCCAAGATTTCATGTTATCCATCTCTGCTGGTTGCCGGGGAACAAACTTTGATGGAGAAGTCAAAGCTATTTCGGCAGCATTGACTGAAATAGATAAAGAACTCACCTATTCCCAAGTTGTGATCTTTGTCGATTCACAAGCAGCCATACTGCCGATCTGCAATGGCCTCGACCATCCTGATGTCACTAGTGCCAGAAATTGGATTAATGACTTAATTAAAAAAGGAATCCGAGTGGCTTTCCAATGGGTTCCAAGCTATTGCGGGCTACCAGGAAACGAAAAAGCTGATGTGCTCGCACGGATCGCCTCGGAAATGCTACAAACTAATCCGCTGCCCTACGATTCTGTTAAAAAGGTTTTAAAATCATTTTACAAGGAATAGAACAAGAGTTGGCAAAAGCGACAGGCAGCGGAAATGTTTAACAGAGGAGCCGATAAAACAAACCAAAAATATGAAAGAATCGGTGGCAAATTTCCGCATAGCAACAGGGCACGATTACCTGCAAAGGTATTTACATAGGATTGGTGTGGTGGAAAGTCCTGTGTGCCCTCTTTGCCAACAGGACGAGATGTGCGACCTGCACCTCCCAGTTTGCCGCGCTCTGTCAGATGTCCGCAGTACTTCTGATGGGATTGGAACAAATGTAAACAAAGGATTCATGGCGGAATTGTATTGGGCTGCCAGAAGCCGAATGGCCTAATAGCCAACGGCAGAGGCGTTTAATAAAAAAAATAATAATAATAAAAAAGACAATATTAACACATAAAAATATAATTGTTAAGCATAAATATTATTACAAAAAATACAGTAGGTCAATACAAATATGAAATTAAATATACGTGTTCTAAAGATATATTTCTTAGTGCAACTAAAGGAAAATACATAAATTGATAAATAAATAAAATTACATGAGTGATTTTAATTAAATTATTATCAAATCTAACTAATTCAATTAATCAATCAATATAATATTAAATTATATATATATATATATACTCTCTCTTTTTTTCTCTTCTTCCATTTTTAAATATTAAATATTAAAACAAATAAAAAAGGGTCAATGAAGAAAATAAATATGTACATTCCAATTACTCGGGCCATTGTCAGCTCATCATAGTAAACACTCAATAAAAATAAAAATAAACAGAAGCATAGTTGTGAACGGCGACCAGAGCTGCATGGTGGGGGCCAGCTGATAGCAAGCCCGCTCCTCGGAAATAAGCACCAAATTGCCACTATCCATACGATGATATTCGCGGTCGGATTTGACTCAAAGTTGGCGACCGCACTCTACGATACAATATTACCGCCTATATAAATTTTCAAGACAGACACCTACGAAAAAAGTTTTAATAATTTGCACGGAGTCGATGTTACCCGGCCTGCGGAACCAGCCAAACTTCGATTCCACATCCAAAAAAAAACAGGAGATGTTTTTCCATCTCACAAACCTGGTCTGTAAACATAAAAAGATCCCAAAGTACTCGGTGGTTGTCATAATACATATATATAAGAAGCGAAATAATAGAGACTATGGCAAACATCGAGGTATTAGGGTGGCTAGTAAGATATACACCAGAATCCTAGAGACGAGAGTCAGAAGAAGAATCGTCAAGCAAGATTGAAGAGGAGCAATATGGATCCAAGAGTCAAATAAGCTCACATCAGACAGGATCTAATTTTCACCATGCGGTAGATCCCGGAGAAGAGTAAAGAACTTCTTGGATCTATGCAAGGCCTTTGACCGGGTTAGGAAAAAGGATATTGTTGATACTCAGGTGAAGAAAGGAGTAAACAATGGACTGATTATTTTAATTCCTCCTCTGGGTACCCCCATGGCCAAAGGAAGCACTTGGCAGCGGACTGATTAGGTTATCCATCGTCTTTAGCAACAATAAATAAATAATTCCATGAACGAGTGTTTACGTCTTTTTTTTATTTTTTATTAACTTTATTTATTCACCCACACCTGTCATAAGCAATGACAATTGCGGGTCTGCTGTCGGTAAGTGTACAGGTAGTGGCTTGATCGGCGTAAAGGAGAGGAGTACCCAGCGGCATCCCTTCCTGTCTTGATTTTAGCATATTTTTAAGTGAGGAAATCCCTCATCCAGCTCCTTTTGAGCCTCCTAAGTGTGTTTTCGGGCATGTTAAATGTAGCCATACTTTGTATAAGTGTATTAGTATGTCCATGTAAGTTATTGTGAAATCGCTTGTAGTGTGCCCGTATGTGATCGTTAACTGTTGGGATTTGAAGGTCTTTATGTAGTGTAATGTTTGTGACGTACCATGGAGCTTTGTTATGGTTCTGAAAGTTTCAGACTGAAAAGTTTGTAGTTTTCGTATGTGTGTCGTTTTGGCTGTTCCGTAAATTTGTGAAGCGTAGGTCCATATGGGCTTAAGTAGGTAATTGTAAGTGTTCAGTTTTTGTTTTAGGTTTAATTTTGAGCGTCTTGAGAGAAGTGAGTATAACAGTCGTAGTCTGAGGTTTAAAGTTTTTCTTTTTTTGTTGATATGTGGACCCCATGTCATTCTTCTGTCGAATGTCAGTCCAAGATATTGTATTTTATCTGTTTTAGGAATTTCGGCATTGTCAAGGTAAATAGGAGGGCATGTTCCATGTCGAAGAGTAAAAGTGATGTGTTGTGATTTGTCTTGGTTGAGTCGAATTTTCCAGAGTTTGCACCAGTCGTTTAGTTTTGTTAGATGATGTTGTAAAGTCTGTGTGGCGTGTGTTGGGTTTTTATGTCTTGTTAGAATAGCTGTATCGTCTGCGTAAGTCGCTATAATAGTTCTGGCGCTGTTAGGGATGTCGTGTGTGTATATAATGTATAAAAGCGGAGCTAGTACTGACCCCTGAGGAACTCCTGCTAAGGCTGGTCTTATTGAAGAAAGTTCTGAGCCTTGGCAGACAGAGTAAAATCTGTCAGAAAGAAAGGATTGAAGTATAAGATAATAGGTAGGAGGGAGTATCGTCTTAAGTTTGAAGAGAAGACCCTTATGCCAGACTCTATCGAATGCTTGAGTGATATACAGAAATACTCCAGTTGCATACAATTTTTGCTCCAGGACAGTTGCAATGTAGTCAGTCACCCTGTGTAATTGATGGATGGTGGAATGCTGTCGTCGGAATCCAAATTGATGGTCGGGTATTATTTTCCGTCCGTCAATATGTTCATAAGTCTTTTCTTAATTGGCTTAACTTTGTTAGCTTTAATAAACATTGATTTGAGTTATTTACTATTATTATTGAACAAACTTAGGTATTTATCATCCAAATTTCTAGTTTAAGAATCGTTTAAAATTAAAAAAAAAAAAAACATTATAGAAATTTCGTTTTTATTTTAAGTAACTTGGGCTTAAATTGATATTTTATTGAATCATTGTAAGAGGTTTCTCACGAAAGAAGTTTGGCTATCGCTTGAGTAAACAATGTCTCGATTAAACCTGGATGCATATTTACCTAATATGGGATAATTTATATTTAAAATATTTGTAAAGGGTAGTTTTCATTAACGGTTCTGGAACCGATGAGAGAAGGGGCAGACGGGGCTGTAGCCCGCGGGCCTGGTCTAGCTGATTAGATTTATTTTTTACCTTCTATATAGATGACGTTATATACATTATATAATAATTATGTTATTTCTTTATTTTTTTTTTATCTATTACAAAAGAAAATGTAGGGTTTCAGTGGTGAATTTTATATTCTAGAGAACTCGAGAAAAATTTACCGTGAGGCCACTGGTTTCTCTCCACGGCCCCGCTAGTTTAAAGTGACTTTTGTTGTACCAAACTAGTCTCGCATTAGCTGTTGTAGTGATAGGACCTCGCTGTGTCGCTGTTAAGGATTATCCCCACCCGGTGCAGCCCTACTTCATTGTCATTGCCGTGCCAGCTGTCTATGAGGTAAGACGTTATCTATCTTAGCTCCGGTAGTACGGTGGTGTGAATCAGCTGTGATGAAGTTCTTTGCCGGAATAGCGTTCCGTTTCATCACGGCGGGGCTCTCATTGTTTTAGGTTGAGCCTCAAGGGAAACCAGTGCGATCTGAGACTCCCTAGGCAATGACAGGAGTGATGAATAATTGATAAATAGTAATAATCTGATTAATCAGCATTGATCAGAAGTTATTATTATATTACAAGTTAGTTCGTTAATTTATAACTTATTTGTAAATCACTTCCCTAAATTCGAATGGTTAATATGAGTGAGAACCAACTCAATATAAACCTAGAGGACAACATAGAAGATGCTGTAGTCTTGATAGTAGAGGGGACTGCGAACACTCTGGGTGCGTTAGAGAACCCAGATACACCTGAGGCGCAAGGTTTACCGGAATGACTCCATACAATAGAAGAATCAATTTCGTCTTCCTGTCTAACTTCTTTTGATGACCTTCTTCACACAATTTTACGTTTGGAATTTTCACGGCGTTTTAAAAATATTCGATAGCCTCTTCTTCTGAAGACTTAAATTCCCACAATGTAAAAACATCCATAATTTGAAGAAAATAACACAAACGGGACAAAAATAAACAATAGAAGAACTCACAGCTTACACGAGATAAGAAAGGAGGTTATGTGACATAACATTTTCGTCCCGACAGGCTACTAGACAAGTACCGAAAGAAAAAAATATAAACTCAAGAATCATCAAAAACCGAAGCTAACCAGACTCAATCAACTGAACAGTAAAATAAAAAAGGGGAGAACTGTGGCTGACATTGTAAAGTCGCTTCCTCAAAAGACTTCCGAAGATGCCCCTTAACATACCTTTATAACTATTTATGGGAAAGGGAAGAGTGTTTTGAAAGTTGTAAAGAACCTAACCCCTCAGGAGGACCTAGACGTAAATGCTAAGGTAGTGAGGGCCACCAAGGCTGGAGGCTTCCTCATCAAAATTGAAAACGATACCCAGGCCTTAAAGCTGAATGGACAGGTCTCAAGGACAAGGGTATTGAAGCCTGAACGGCCTTGAAAAGAAAGCCCAGACTAGAAGTGAAAGGGGTTCCCCATTCATGGACAGGTGCTGATCTTGAAAGATATATCTGGGAAATGACAGCTGAGAAGTTGGCTTCCCAATTGAACATCAAAGAGTGCATGCAAGCACGTTTTTCATTGGAGGCTTGAGGCAACTTAACAAGGAACTGGGTTGTTAAGGTCCACCCAGTCATCCGATTCCGCCTATTGGAAGTGGAAACCATCGATGGCGGGCGATGACATTTAGGAATTTCGTGGATACGTCCTCCTGCTCAAAATGCCTTGATTATGGGCACACTACAGCGTTATGTACTCTCGGGGGCAAGATTTATAGATAGATATGCGGCTAGTGGCCACGTAGCAAAGGCGTGCCCAAGGAAGAAGGAAAGAGCAGATCCGACTTGTTCTAATTGTTCACGGGAAGGAGCTCCATCAAACCTGACCAAACACAAGGCGGGAGGCCGAAACTGCCCAGCACACATTAAGAGAACTCAAGATATCGCGCGAAGAACCCAGCACGAATAGGATCTCCATTATTCAGCTCAATATGGGCTGACGGTATATTGTAGCAGATGAGCTGCGAGTTCTCGCCCAACACTATGATATCATGGCGGTTTAAGAATCGAGCTGCCGTGGGAATAAGATTGTAGGATTTGGTCTCGCATCGAGAGTTATTGCTTTAGGCAGTGAAGAGAGGAGGCCTAGGGCTGCAATAATAATCACTCGATGTGATGAGCCTTGAGCTGTTCACCAAGGTGGACAGCGTAGCATTCTACATCAGATAGGGCAGCAACGCCTTTACCCTTGCTTCAGTGCACTTACCCAACGGAAGTGATATAGGAGAGGGTGTATTCGTCATGAAGGTGATCACTGGAAGATATAGGAATATGATCATCTGCTCGGATACAACTCCTGGGAGGGACCTGTGCCCATCATGGGACATTTGAGACCTCAGTAGTGCCGTGGAAAGACAAAAGACTGGCCAGACCCCCGGTTTATAAGCGATTGATGCGGAGATGTATTCCCTATTTGGAGAATAGGCTGCTTGCGATTCACAACGACTGCCTAGACAGAGGATACTTTCCAAGAAGCTGGAATATTACTAATGTCAGACTCTTCTTACAAATGAAGATACAAGGACAAGCAACTTGCCAAATCATACAGGCCTATTTTTCTCCCCCTGTAATCAGCAAGGTATTGGAAAACCTGGTGGTCTTGAGCCTTCGGCCAGTCTCATCAAGATCGACCCATCCACGGCAATATGGATTAACTAAAAGCAAGGGAACCGCAAATGACATAATGAGAATGCGTCATGAAGTAGAAGAAAGAGCTGTGAGGTATTTTATACTTCTCTTGTTTGACATATCCTCTGCATTTGACAGCGTGTGGTGCCTGAGTGTTCTCCAATAACTCCAGAAGTATGAAACTCTCAGTAACCTGTATGATCTAGTGAGAAGCTACTTCCAGGACCGGACATTGAAAATTAGGGGCAGATTCTTTGAAGTAGAAGACACCGTCGAGAGGGGTTGTCCACAGGACTCTGTTACGAGTCCCGCCTTGTAGAAGCTAGTCTTTGACGAGTTGCAGGTGAAGAGGAGCGGTTCTTTGCCACGGCTTATGTTGACGATTAGGCCGCCATGGTGGCTTCAAACAGCGTAGCCGGTCTGAAAGCAGAAACTGCGCTAACTCTAGGAAGATGGTGCGAGAGTAAGAAGTTGAAGATGGCTGCCACAAAGACTCAGGCAATTCTCTTGAGGGGCACGACTGACAGGGCTCATCATATTATGTTAAGTGTAGAATAAGAAAGGGTATGTCCAAGTGAGGTTGTCCTCTACCTTGGCATAAGAATTGGTCGGAAGTGCACAGCAGTCACAATTCTACACTTGAGTTCCCACAATAACAATTATAAATAAATGCTAAACAAATTATAATAAAATAGACCTGTACTGCCAGCAGAGGCATACGCATATACGCAGCGTAATGCTCCACTACTGCTACAACCCGTACTGCCTGTAGGGCAAGGCAGAAAGAGGAAAAAAAAAAAAAAATTGTATCATACTATTGTGCTATTTAGTGACTTTTTGCAACTCTAAACAGACAAGCTGCTGATACCCCGTCTCACTTTCTCAGTTTTAGTCAGGCATGGAAAAATTTAAATTATTGATATTACTGTATTAAGAGTAAGGTACATAAGTGTATATATATATATATATATATATATATATATATATATATATATATATATATATATATATATAATCCACTTAATTTCTTCAATATGAAGTTTTCCTCAACCAATCTCATGCTTAAGCAAGTCTCTCCATCTCGCCAATCGCATCCTCCTCCGGCAGTCCCCTACCAGCCATCCTTTCAACCACTCTATCCTTCCATCTAACTGGAGGGTCTTCCTCTCCTTCGTCTCGCCCTCATCCTCCCAATCCATAATTATCTTTGGTGTCATATCATCTGAGTCTCTTTTCTTCCATCACCTCTATGAATTTTGTTTTATTTCCAATCTCTCTCTTACAGTGGCGTTTCTTACCCTTGCGATCCTCGATATCCTAGCTGCTCTCCTCCAAATGTATAAGAGCTTTTTGTTTTTATTAAAATATTGCTGCACGAAGATTGAACCCATAATCAAACCTACAATCTTCAGTTTTAGCAGCTGTAGTTATTAATGGATTGAAAAATGATAAATTCTTTGTTCTATGTAATCCCCTCCCTCCCTTAATGAAGCGAAGGACCAAACTATTTCTTGGCGTAGCTCCAACTTCAAGCATATTTATGAGGAGCTATGGGGCACACATTAAGTCCCCTAGCCGATAGAAATGGGACGAGATTTACATAAGTCCTAATTTTATAAAAAATAATATCAAGGTATAGCAAGCAGTGATAGTGGAACAGGCAGTGCCGGCCTTAGGGCGAGGCAGCTGGAGCAATTCCCCGTTTCACCTACCTAGAGGGGTGCCCGTTGGAGGCTCTCGCCACTTGTTAGAATAAAAAATAATACAAAACGTATTAAAATAATATTTGCCGTATTAATAAAGCAACTGTATTAGAGAAATATTGAATGTATTAAATTCAAGTATTACATAATATAAAATAGCTTAAGAAATAAATTTAATTTTTTTATGGGGGAGAGATGACGTCATTGCCCGAGGGGCACCGAATGTCTAAGACGACACTGGGTACAGCTGGTAATATTAGGTTTTAACTGCTTACTGAATTAACTTTAATACAACGATTTAATTTACCTTTTTCCTTTTTTAAATTGTAATTGTTTTCTAAATTAAAAATTTTAAGTTTTCATTAGAAAAATAATAATGACCAATTCCAGATATGGTGTTTGTTTTTCTGGTTGAGTTTACATTTACGAGTTAGACTAATCCATGTCTGGTTTTTTCGGTAACAACTAGCGCATCTGAATGAAATAACTGTAGGTTCGTGAACAAAAATAAACATATCATTATGATTATAATTTATTTGCTAGTTTTAAGTTCAAACAAATCTTGAAAAACAATGTATCGATCTTTCTAGTTGAGTTGGAAATCGTTTCAAGTTTTGTGAACAAAATCTCTAATTTTTCAAAACTTATTAATTAAGGGCATTGTATACGACTTTTGTAAAACTTAGATGATAATGTAAGTTAGGATCAAAACCGGAGTTAATCTTATATCTACGTGGAGAACAGACGCATGCGTTCGTTACTAATATCGATCTGCCAGCAAGGGCGGCTTGTACACTTTTCCAGTGTTCCCGTTTAGTTGAGGTTTTATTAAAGTTATGTTAACCCCTCTCCGGAAATGGAACTCTTATGATGGTTTTAGCCTCGGTTAATAATTAGTCCGCGATTAAAATGTTTAGTTTCGCTAGCAAAATGTTAAACACTTTGATGGGGGAAGGAGAAGGTGCTCCTCCGCCAAGACCACCAGCACAAATCCGGCCCACATATCAGCAGCAAGGTCCAAGGCTACAACAGATGACTTATCCTCGTCCCACAACTACCCACCTGCCCCCTCAAAATGTTATGAGAGGTACTTATCTGTCAAGTTGAAACTGAATTATTGGGAAAATATTCGCGAGCGACTGAATGCAATGAACGATGTGAATCTATATTTTCAATTGGCTTTATCCTATTATTTACAATCATTGGCATAATTATCGCTATAAACTTATTAATTATTCCGTAAAATTAATAAAACCTCAAAATATATGTATAATAAAATTAATTTAATAAGTAGTCTTCATTATCATTGGGAAACTGTTTTCCTTTCCTTGAATAAAGTAGTTCTGTTGCATAGATATATCTATTAAGTAAAAACGTTAAAAAGGAATTTAAAAAAATTAAAAGTTATAAAATTTTTAATTTATGATCCACAGAGTTAATATGATGTAATTCAAATTTAGAAAAACAATTTTTTTGTTGTTTTTTCAGATGAATGAATAGCTGCTAATAATCTTATTATTTATTAATTCATGTTTTATAAAACAAGATACAAAATTCGCCTCAAAACTTTGAAGAAAAATTTTACCTGTTGAATCACAATAGCAGGTGATACCATTTAGGCTGTTGAAACTCAAATGCTAGTTCATTATTTGATCATTATACAATATTTTTGCATCTGCATTCATTGCTTAATGTAATGAAATATCTGTAACATTGTGAAATATATACTATATATTCTAAGACAAAATTTTTAATGAGAAATTTGTTTTCAGTTCTATTTTATTGTTTTTTATAAATCAATTTAACTTAAATTTACTTTATATATATATATGTTATACGCTATTACCATTTTTAATGCTTCTGAAATTCTTTTTTAATTAATAATATCTGTCAATTTAATGAGATTATATTATCTTCATGATAAAAGAGTATCATTTTATAAATAATTATACAATTTTTGTATTTATATATACATATACATGTATAGATCATAAGAAATTCAGTAAGAGTTGAAATGAAAATGATTCATGAATAAGAGTAAGAATTGTTATTATTATTTTTGTTTTCATTACTATTAATTTTTATTTTTTCCAGGACCAGAAGAACCCAATTTAGATTTAAGTCATCTGAGTGCTGAAGAAAGAGCACTTATTCAGAATGTCATGGCCAAAGCTAAAGATTTAGATAAAACTCAGAAACCGTGAGTAACAAATTCTATATGGTGCTTTTAGAACAAAGTAAGTTAATTTGGCAAAATATTAGTTTTTTTAAGAGAGGAGAGGGCTAATTTAGTTGTGAGAAGTCTCTTCACAACACCTATAGTACTTTTAGGTTTCATAACCACTTTGGTTACCTAAAGTTTGTCACTCTGTTTTTAGACTGTCTTGATAAAAATGTTGGCCCACTTGGAAATTAAACCCCTGCCATTCATAATGGAATTCATGAATATGAAATCTCACCCACCCTGTTTACTGAGTGGTCATATCTTCTCACCTGGTTATTTTGAACTATTATGCATTTGTCTGACATGTAATATGTTTAAAAAATATATAATAATAATTTGTGAAAAATTATAATAATACTTTAATTTAAATATTAATTTCACCTATATTTGTTTTATGATTTTAACTCTGGTTGATTATTTTAATTTTATCTTATGAAATCGTCATATTGAGACATTTATTTTGACAAGCAAATATATATTCAGATTAAGTGAATAACAAATGATTATTACAAAATAAATACAATAAAGCAGCCAATTCAATAAATTTATTTAAAACAGATTTTATTTTTTGGGAGTAAATATTTTAAAAACCAAAAATGTTCAAATTCATGAAAGTTTTGTAGAATTTGTTCAGAATCGTACTGATATATCTCACAATACATAAATTAAATAATAACTAACAAAATTGTATAACTAACCTCATCATCCAAAAGTATTACTATATTATGGTTAATACAAGTCACACAAATGTAAAATACAACATATTAATTAAAAATCAAATTCTTTATAGTTATTTCATATTATGGAAACATTTTTTACAGCTACCTATCTTGTCTTCATCGAGTTTATGCTTTAGGTGAATCTTTTGACTTTATTGGTATTTATAAAGGTTGAATATAAATCACCAAATTGAGTTTTCTATAATTACAATATCTGAAAAGTTATTGTTATTTATGACATTGATTATTATTTAAGAAATTGCTTATTTATTTATTTTTTAGAACTTAGCACTTACAAAAATCAAGCAGTTTTCTTTTGACATATATTTATGGATTTTTTAGTTGTTAAGATAAGAAAAAAATAGATGTGGGAAATATTTATATGTTAAAAAATAATGACAATTATAGAAAAAAATAAGAAAGAAAGAGAAGCAAAGTTAATTTTTGAAAGAAAGAAAGAAAAGTCAATTTTGTTCTAGGGCATTCAGCCCTCTAAGAATAATTATAATGAACAATTTAGTGACATTTGTCTGACATACAAGTTAATCATCTTGTTGTTGTTAATTAAATTAAAATAAAGAAAGGCACAAATTAACATTTCAATTATAGGTAGATGTATAAGAGTGTGATCTGTAAGATGACAGAAAAATGAGGTGACAGCTCTAAAAAACATAAAAATGTTATTCTTACATATAATCAGAAGATTGATTGCTGAGGAAATGAAAGATTAAGAATGAGGATCTGTGTACAGAAGTAGGTAGAGAATTCCAAAACATGGGAGAACATATGAGAAAGGATTTTTTAAAGGAAATAATTTGATGAGAAAGAATAAACAGGTTTGTGGGCTGGGATCTCATGTTGAAGAAATGGACAGAGGAACAAGGAGTCTCTAAGGAGCAAGGAAGACAGTAAGTTCCCTAAGAATAACTACGATGAATAATGAAATGACATTTGTCTCGCATTAGAAACATTTAAGAATAGATTAAATTACAAAGTTATCTAAATATATGGTGGTGTCGGCATCGAACCTTCGGGTTCGCTAAGGCTTATTATTATTATTATCTAAATATAAAATTAAAATGAAGAAATAAAGAAAAGACACTAGTAGACACATAAAATTATAGATAAATGCATATGTGTGAGTTCACATATTTGTACACATAAACAATGTGGATGATATATAATTATCTGTAAAATAACATTAAATGTGGCTAACAGCTCTGAAAAACATTAACATTATTTTCACATGTATTCAGAAGAGTGATTGCTGACAAGATGGAAAAATAAATGAGGTCAAGGATGAGGATTTGTGTATAGAGGCTGGTAGGGAATTCCAAAACAAGGTAGCATGCATGATAAAGGATTTTTTAAAGGAAACAGTTCTATGAGATGGAATAAACAGGTTTGAGGGCTTGGATCTCGTGTTGAATGAATGGACAGAGGAACAAGGAGTGAACAAATCAATAAGGTAAGAGGTTTTTTTCGTTTAAAAGGTTCAAAAAAAGAATACATCCAGTAAATATTACTGTCGGAAGACTGGATTGAGCCACTATAACTCGGAATAGCAACTAGAGATGTGGGAGCGCCTGGGGACTCCCAGAAACAATTCATTAGTACATCTGATATTATATTGTGTATTCTTTATAAATTGTATAAGCTAATTGATTTTTAGTTAATATGCTGTATGCTGCTAGTTTTAAAATGATATTTATGTAGCTTGATATTAATAATTATCCACCAAAAATCATAATATAGTGATAAATTTTGACTGAAGAGATTTTAAAAATTATATTTTCTGTTATTATTTAATTTTAATGAAATTTAAATATATATTTGCTTATTAGATTAAATTTCTGGATTATTAATAGTAATTGATAATATAAGTCAGATATAATTGTAACTATACCTACGAAGGCCACACTTGCTAATAGGTATGTTTTGCATTATACTGAACGTATTAAGTTAAGTATTTTTACCCATGTATCTGATTTTTGGGCTGGATGATGCGAAGAATAATTTTTGTTTTAAATTGCATGCTATGCCATTTTACTGTAAGACCATCTATATACTGGCTAGTAGACATATTGGTTTTTTTTTCCAACCTCAAAAATTAAGACCATTGAACTAATAATATTAAAAGTAAGTATCATTGATTACAGACTTATCTTCTACATGAATATAGAGCAAAAAATACCTAAATGATTCCTGGATTTTTATACATTTTCCATAAATTAGTCATTTATAAATTACCACTTCAATCCTGAATAATAAACTATCTTCATGAAAAAAGCTATCTTTGTGCCATATAAAAATATCACTCTTAAATTGTTAAGGGTATATATTATTCAATCTAATATATTTATGGTTTCAAGTAATTGGTTTGATTTTAAGATTTCAATGATTAATTTATCATAAAAGATTTTAATCAGATATTTTAAATTTTTATTTGTCTTAAAAAAGATATAGTATAGTATATAAAAACTATAAAATACTATAAAGATATATAATTGGTAAATGGTTGACTGTCGTGGATAATGAAGAGAAGAATAGTTGGGGTGGTCAGTCAAAAAAGAAGGTAAAAATAAATATTATCATTTATTTTTGCCTTCTTTTTTGACTGACCACCCCAACTATTCTTCTCTTCATCATAAAGATATAGTATATAATATTATGAATATTTTCTTTAATATTGTTTAAGTATGATAATTTGCATTATTTGTAGTGGAATAACTTATATACTATTCCCATAAAGATACTGCCATACTATGAATGATTTTGAAACAAACTGCACTTGCTTGTAAATTACATGAGTCATATAATCATAGAATATGACTGTTATTTAAAGAAAGTACAGTAGAACTTTAATCCTGGATCCGTTTATGAACAAAAATATAGTCTTTCAAAGGGAAATATTGACAATAATGTAAAATAACACTTTTTTATAATGTAGAGTAAATAACTGGTTATGGTTATAGTTAAGGAAGCTGATTAGTGTACGAGAGGATATGTCCTATCCAGTTTGTCACATTACATTTTTTATTACATGTCGTAAAATAAAAACCACTTCAACTTTTATAATTTTTTATTAAAAGGCTAGTGATACTAGTTATGGGCATTATAAATGGGTCGGCCATGATGTATAGTCATTTTAAAAGTATTATTTTAACAATTAATATCTATAAATAGCAACTTTCTCAGTTTATTGAAAAGTTACTATTTATTAATAGAGAAACAGTACTCTGATAACACTGTAGTACTAATATAGTCTAAAAATGTATTTTTAAAAAGCTTTGATAGATGATGTTCATTATTTATTTTGTAAATATTTTTACTTTTTTTTTAGCAAGCGCATTATTGTGGCTTTGGGGTTTTAAAAGAAACCAAGATTCATTTCTATTAAAATAATATGTGAAGGATAACATAACATTAAAACCATTTTATTCGATCAAAATTCTTGCAACTGAACTACATCAAGCTCAAAGATCTTTTTTCAGACACTTGAGAACGTGCTCCAAATATTTCTGTAATAATTGAATTGGAGATATTCAGGCCTTCATCAAGACTGGACTCATGAAAAGTTCCTGTAAGACAAGATTATTTGAACTCTGGCTCATTCCTTCCTATTACACTCTTCTCGTGGTCTACTTATTCCACTGCTCTCAAGTTTTCTCCATAGAAGTCTCATAGAAGTCCCCATAGAAGTCCTCTAAGTCAGAGAATTTCCAGTTCTGGGATACTCCACTGATTTCTAGCTTCAGTCTCTTTGTTCTTGTTAGGTTAAATTTTAGTCCCTTGTTCTTCAAAGCTTGCATTTCCATCAGCATCTTAGCTTGCTCTGCTCTCTTAATCTTCACCAGGACAGTGGTGTTCCCGTTGGTGAGTCCTATTACTTGAGCCCTAATCTGTGTACCCTGTAATTCCCCTTCGTTTGGGAGAACCTCCCATATGTTTCTTGGGTTCTAGTTTTCTCCTTCGCCCCAAATTGTGACATACATGGGGGCTTCCTCTGGTGCTGTTAGAGAGAGAAGATTTGCCATTCTCCTTAATATGACTGAGTATGTAAGCTTCTGATACTATATTCTCTCAATCCTTTTCCCCATCTCCTTTATTTCAGAGGTGGCACTTAATTTCTTCGTTTCCCTCCTTTTTTTCTTCATTTTCGTCTCGCCAAGGTGTATTTTATCATCTTCCGACTCATCAATGGATGCATTTGGGTCCCAATATTTCACCTCGGGAAGTTCTGTTTGAGGTTCAAGCTCCT